CCATAGACAATTGGGCGGACATGCATCGTTGCGGGGCCTCTTGGGTTAATCCCCAAGCGGAACAGACTTTTGTAAGTATTTTTACTTTTCATATTAAATTTTTTTATACTGAAATAGTGGTTTTATAACACGTATAAACAATTATAATGTCTTATTACGTAGAACACCCTGGAGGAGGAGAGACAATGCAGAGAACACAGTCTACTTCAAGCTCGACTAGACCCGCCTTTGACGAGCATAGGGTTTTGGAGCAAGTTCTTGGCATGCGTAGAGAACATAAGATAAGAGTCGGTCCGACGCTCTCTCAAAAGTATTACTCCGGGGTTTGTCCTTCATCTGCTGGTTCATACTCAGACGCAACATCATCGGCTCAACCTGACCCACGTATGAGTCTTTATTTAGAGAAATCGTACCGGGAACAAGTTAAGATTTATGAGAATCAGGTGAAGGTGTTAGAGTTGGTGGCTAAATTACAGCCCATACCTACGATTGCTCGTCCATAACCAGTTGACCTAGACGCTCCTCTGCCTCCTTCAGATGATGACAGTCCTGATGATGATTCAGCTGTTGGCGATGCTGCAAACTTAGACGATTAGTGCCGTTATATGTACTTTTTTATTTTTCACTTTATTTAGACTTTTATATTTTTTTGAACATTATATATGCACTTCATGTAGTATTCATAATATATTTTATAAATTTATTTAGATGTGCTGTTTTTAATATTAATTTATATTTCACTTTTAATGTATCTTAATAAATTCTATTCAGTATGTACCATAATAATGTTTAATTAAAAATATTAAAAATTAATTAATTACCATTTTTTAAAAATGATAAAAAAAATTAATTTCAATTTTTTTGCGACGACTTTTTTAGACTTGTCGTCGCAAAAAAATAACATTATTTGTGACGACAATTTGAAAAGTCGTCGTAAAAATGTATCATATCACGAGAAATTTACGACAATGTATTAGCGACGATTGTCATCATAAATACATTTGCGACGACACTATGTCGTCGTAAATAATTTATTTGCGATGACAATTTACGATGACGTGTCATCGCAAAAAACTTTATTTGCGACGACTTTTTATCGTCGCAAAAACTCATTTTTCTTGTAGTGTTCCCATTTTTCTCTCATTTTATCAACTGGTAGTACTTTTTCTCTTCACTTCTCTCACATCTCTTCAAACCATAAACAAAAACACCATATATTTAAAAAGTCTCATTGAGCCACAACATAAACCCTAGACCAAACTCATAAAATAACAATTTGACCCAACAAAACAAATTTCAGTCGCCTACCTAATAATCGCCACATTAACTCAAATTTTCTCAACTCACAAATCTGAATATCCAATCTTGATAATTAACATCCATCATCCCACCCATCAAAGGCGGGTGATGCAGACACAAGCTCAATCAAAACAAATATGTGTCAAGTACAAGCTCTTGTCAAACTTAACACGAGATACCGATTTTTCTTTTTCAATATTAGTCCTCATCATCTTATATGTATCAACTTCAATTGTCACCATCTTGTTACACTCTTTTACTCTCACAAATTCTTTCACAATGAAGAAAGACTTTTCTTGGTATGGTCACCTTCATAGATCAAACCTAAAATTGCCTTCCCAACTAGCTTTTATAGATTTTTCACCTTTCTCATTTTTCATGGCTATAAAGCACCTTTGTTGACTTCTATAAAACCAACATCTGCATAATAATTGCAACCCAAATGTCTAAAGTCCCTAAAGAAATAAAATTTCTCATAACTGAGGAACCTGCTAAATATTTGTCATTATCCTCACAACACTATCAAACGTCTTCACTTTCACAGTACTGCTTCGTTTAGCAACAGATAAAATAAGTATCAACATCTCAAATGCCTCCTAATATACTCCTTCTTATGACAGTACGTAAGAACACCCAAACTCCTTCCATGAACGCAATTAGAAGACTGTCAGTATCCCAATAATGATACTCAAAGGTATTTCAGTGTGATACAAAAATGGGTAATTTTTAAAAATGCCCTTAAAATGAAACTCCCTTTTATTTCTACCCTTTAACATTAACTCATATATTTTTACTTTTCAGACTAAGGGCACGTTTAGTTCGCTGATTCGAATTTTTAATTCGAGTTAAGATGTGATTTTATGTGAGAGCTTTTTACTGTAGCAAAAAAGTTAAATGTGGCTGTTTCTAAGAGCTTTTTACTGTAGTAAAACTCGAATCGGTGAAATGAACGGGGCTTAAAACTAGTTAAGAGGTATAATTTTTTAAAAGAAATACTTTTAGTAAGTCATGTACTTAAAAAGGTAGAATCTATGGCCGTGTTTGAAGTTGATTTTGTTTCTGTTTTTCACGTTTTTCGAGAAAGAAAAAATGAAAACGGGAGAGAAACGGCATTTGGCACAATTAAAGACAAAAAACGGAAATGAAAATGATTTTTTGCTTTAGTGTAAAATGAGAGAGAAATGAAAAATGACTTTTAATCGTTTTTCATTTTTTATTTATGTTTTTTTTTCTCTCGAGCACAGAGAGAGAGATTAATATTTTTTTTATACTGAAAACAATCTCTTGATAAAATTACCAAACACATTTGCAAAAATAATTTTTATCTGAGATTGAAAATATTTTCATTTCTATTTTCATACAAAAATAAAATTATTTTAGAACGAGTTCTAAACACACCTTAATACTTTTCTATACTAAAATTTCCACAACCAACCACCCCCGACCATTGTATTCTACTATGATACTTAGAGGTGTCATACCGTGATACAAAAAATTCTAGCAACCGTGATAGTCAGGTAGACAACAATCGGTATATTGTGATGATACTTGGGACTCGTCAATCGGAGACCTGTAGCATCTTACCATGATGTTTTACAGTAACAACAGGAGACCGCTAGCACCACGATGGCTGGCCATGTTATAAGTTTTATCACCAACTTACTTTAAAAAATAATGAAAAGTAACAAAAGATACCCAAAAAAAAAACTCTAAATAAATCACAAAAGTTGCAGGGAAAAAAAAATTCCTGTACATGATTGACACTTGGAACACCAAGGCAATGAAGAGCGAAAGAAACGGTAAAACAAAAAATAAAATTGAAATAAATAAACCGAGACATCTAATTTCAGATGCCCCCGGCAAATAGATGATGCCAAAAAAGTCTTTCTAATTTCAGAAAAGAGATATTTTTCTGAAAGAAATTTCACATTCACCCTTCATATGGAACAATAGGCAAACCCAGTGACCGAATTATCTTGACTTTTGACAGCTAATGAATCAGGCGTTCCTAGAAATTAATCACTGTACTATTCTCCTTTTTTCGCCGTGGAAAATTACAACTTGTGCAATATCTTGACCCTTGAACATTTGAAGATTCCTAGAAATTAGAACATTTGAAAAAACAGTTTTTAACACAATTACTCTCTAAACTTATCGTGATTTAATAAATTACCCTCTAAATTTTTAATTTTAACAAGCTGTCCCTTAAACTTATAAATTTATTACAATATATCCCATTTACCTAAATTTGTTTAAATTTTTTTATTAGATTTAAGGGATTAAAAATTGAGATATTAAAAATTTGTGTTACATTTAAATTGAAAAGTTAAAATTTTTTACTGAACATGTTTTTTTAACAATAATTTAACACAATCGTCGTCAAAATGAGTCATATTATAACAACTTTATAAGTTAAAAAAGTAACTTGTCAAAATTAAAAGTTTAGAGGATAATTTGTTAAATTACAATAAGTTTAGGGAGCAGCAAATGTGCTAAAAACCCTTGGAAAAAATATAGAGTTTCAAATGCTTAGCATCAGTGCGGACTTACATAGGACCGACGAGGTACATTCTAAAAACCTATGATTTTACTACTAAGCCCCCATTCAAAATTCTATCTCCATATACGCCCTTATGGCTTCACTTTACTCTCCAGTTTTTTCATCTATACCTAAAACCATTATGAAGCTATTATAGAAAGCTTTCATAGCATGAAAACTCGTCGTTGTAATATGTTTTTTTACTATTTTGATATGTGTGTATTTGATAGCTCTTGAAAAAATACGGTGATACAATTGTTTTTTTTTTTTTTTTCACATTTTCCATATTATTTATATCACAAAAAGAAATTTGGTGTACGCGTGAAGTAAAAGAAACTTGGCTAGCTCTCAATCCCCTAATGGAACGTGCAGCTCTACAGATTTGACATTCTCCAATCACCACAGACTAAGCTCAACACACAGAGCAAGTCGTGATCTCGCTGTGGGGACCATTCTCCATGATATCGGGAGAACGTAGATCTCATCGACTAAGAGTCCGACACTGCACAATTGCACAGTGGAGCGATCTCCTGATATGAGATCTTCCATATCTTCCTCATGCAGATGTTTGGGGGGAAGATCTGATCTTCCTCCTGCGCCGAAGGTCACGGGGGATCTGACAGCGAGGATGGCATTAGTGTCCGCGATAACAATAGTGTCTACAATGGAAGCGGCAGCGGCAGGAACAGATAGAAAACCAAGGTGCATTTCAAATTTGGAGATACATCAAAGGATAGATTTGACAAGAACTTATCGGATGGTAAAAGTCGATCCCCTCCCATTTTAGGTGGAAAACATCAGAATTTACCCAATCTAACCTTTGTCCTATGTTATAGCTAGCTTGTCATCTTCTATAAATGCAGATATAAAGCATAGACGGAAAGTGACAAAAGAGGGAGACTGGATTTATAACTCAGTCAGAATCTGAGGACATTCCAGAGTCGGGCTTCAATTGCACCACCATTTTTGACATCATCTCACCCATGTCTTCCAACTCGTCCTGCCCAAAGCCCCAACTTCTAAGCAACTGAGCACCAGGTGCTCCTCTCTCAATCCCATACCTATGTAGTTTCCCCAACCTATTCTCCAAAAATGGCAAGACAGCGCTGCTTGAACGCAGTCTAGCCGCCAACGGGATGGAGTGAACATCAAGAGAACCCCTTGATGAGGAGCCAGTGATCGGGCTACCTAGCAGCTCACCCTGCTGGCCAACGCTGGCGCCGAAGATCGAAGGAAATGGCAAGGGTATTGGAAGGGGGCATTGAGCCACCGAAAGGTGGCAGAACATTGGCCTTGATGTTGCCCGTTTATAAGCAGCCTCAACTCTGGCATTCACTTCGGGAACTGAAGCCCGACTAACTCCTGCAGAAGACAGATATAAGATGAATTATAAACCCATTCACGGCTTTTGAAAGAACTGTTTTAACAGGGGTTACTGCCAGAATCTTTGAGCTTGTACCCCAAATAAATATTCTCCTAAGTTTTATGTGCATTGCTCACCCAAATAAAGCCAACTGGAACAAGAAAAATGAAGGGCCAAAGGGAAGCCTATATTTACCTAGCATGGAAACATTATGCCAAGGGAGAAACAAAGGAAAAAAAATCGAATTTAACTTAACAGGTAGAAGCATACGCGTTACCTGCACTAAAGGTTCCGAGGGCAGTAATGGATTCCACTGCGTGAAAGTCTGCTACATCCTCACTTATCTCCGGAGTCAATGGATGCAAATTACCCAACAAAGTTTGGTTGCCTTGTGCCCCTAGATTCCAAGATTGTGAATAATTAGCCAAACTTGCAACTTAGAACGAGAAGCTGAAGGTGAAAAAGCACACAAAAAAAATACCAGTCAAAGGAGGAGCTGGCATTGCAACATCCATAATGGCCACCATATTCTCCCTAGATTGCCCTGCTAGCATCTGTACAAGCCCGTTAACATCCATGGAACCAGAAATATCACGAGAATCTGCGGCCGGCCCAAGTTGTTCCATCCGGAAAGGAAGGCTAACACTGTGTAGTGTGGCTGCATAAACTGCGCTGCAGTGATGAGGCTTTTCATCTTTGACGCTGAGGAACGTTGCAGCCTTACCTTCAATATATATGACAAGATACACTTCACATTTAGCTCAGAACGCAACAGAATCAAGTGAGGTAAAACATTTGAAATGGTACTTGCTTACTTGTGCTCAGAGAAGGTAAGCCAATAGGAACAATTAGTTTACAAAAGGATGATAACTTTGAAAATGAAACTGCGTCATGAAGATCCCTAGAGACTGTCTGCTTCTGGCTTATGGGGTTCATGAAGGAAACAGGACTGCGGACAGAATATAGCAAAACTGGAGTGTTCCCATATTCATCCGCAATAGTCTCTAGAAGATCTGCAGCTACAGCGGAGAAACCTCCCGAGTCATCCACAATAAACTGAAAACCCTGTTAAAATCACCACAATGAGCAACAAAGAGATAATCAAGAACTGAGACTACTATACAGAAGGATATTGGCCATATATGGTAGTTTTGATCTTAAAAAAATCTTGACACACATATAACCATATAATTTCTACGTTGAGAAAATGCATCTTTCTGCACTACAAATCCAGATAAAGATCTTTTTAGTACCATGACAGAACTACATATAAGGCAAGAAACACTGAATAAATATACCTGAATATGGTCACACTCTTCCACAAAAAAACGAATTCTCTCATTAATTTCTTCTCCTCCAGAAAAGACATCCCTCCCAATCCCATAATTATCAAACTCTTGAGAATCCATCCACAATCCACTAAATTCATATAAACTCCGGGGATGATAGTGAACTTTTGAGAAGTCTGTCCAGTATTTGACAACATTTTCTAAATTTTCAACAACATCCCTATCATGAATCTCTCTCTGAGAAGAACTCTTCCCACCACCATTTACACCATTCATCAGAGTTGAACTCTCTTCCTCTTCCTCGTACAGACGTTGCAAGAACAAATTCTTCTTGCGAGGTTCAGATGCGTGGGTAGAAACATTACCAGTCCTGCACATTAGTTCACGGACATTAAATCATTTGAACACCATGCCAGATGAGAAACAATACATTTTAGAGACAAAAAAGGTAGCTTATTTTCCCTCGGCTTGGCAATGAAAACAAAATTGGATAGGATGCTGATTATACCAATTCTTTCCTAGCTATTGACAAATGAAGCTACTAACATGAAATATTGCAGCATCTAAAGTCTCACCAGGTGATGACATCTGAATCTGCAGGTGAGCTTTCATTGTACAACGTCCCACATGTACTCATAGATCCAAGAGATCCTGCGATTACCAAGCACCATAAGTCACATAGTTCTCAAAAAGAAGTTAAAAAAGTGGAACAAGATACAAGTTCAAGCTAATCTTTCCATGATAAAAAGCTATTACCCATTGCTCTATTCTGCATATAAAATTTTCTTAAAGGCTGCTGTAAATATACTTCTAAAACAATTCATGTGTGTCTTCTAAAAAGAAAAAATGTAACTGATCCAGTTCATGCCCCAGGACCTGAGGATCATATGATGGAAATAAACTCTTAGACTAGCAATCCACCTGGCTTGCACAAAATAATCACAAGGAAAAAAAATTGATAGGCGATCGATATCAACTAAACGATCATATCAAAATCGGAGAAACTGCCATCAATTAAGCCATAAAAAGAAAATACATCAAGAATTTCTCAACTACTGCTTACAAATCAAGTACCTTGAAAATCAAGAGAAACCATGCGAGGAGTATAAGAAACATCGCCCTGCACATTAAGCAATAAAGTAAAGAAAGAAATGTAATTTGCTGTCAAATAAAGCATGATCTCAGCAATAACACATTTTGTCACTAATAAAATATAGCGCTAGGCATTCACATATATAAGGAAACCAAAATGTAGCCATTCTCACCCCCCATTCCATTAAAAAAAAATGATAGAAAGAAAGAAAAACTCTTTACCCTTGGGGTTTCACCAGTACGGTAGAGGACATCCATGTTTGTATGCTGATTCCTGAAAACTGGCTCAGCATGAGGGTCCGACGCCAATCCAAGCAACTCATCCTTAAGCATTGAGCACACAAAATCAACACAAAAATAAATTCAAATAAAAGAAAAGGTCACTTGTGATTCTTTAGAACAAGAAAATGTTAGACATGTTTACAAATATAAATACAAAGACCGTGTTTGGAATTGATCCCGTTTTTGTTTTTCACATTTTTTGAGAAAGAAAAAATAAAAACGTTTCTAAAACGGCGTTTGGCACAATAAAGACACAAAAGCGAAATAAAAACGATTTTTTAGTTTAGTGTAAAATGAGAGAGAAATGAAAAACGACTTTTAGTCGTTTTTCATTTTTTGTTTTCGTTTTCTCCTCTCTCGAGCAGAGAGAGAGAGAAACAAAGACATTAATGGGTTTTTTTACACTGAAAACAATCTCTTGATAAAACTACCAAACGCATTTTCAAAAACGATTTCTATCTGAAATTGAAAACGTTTTCATTTTCATTTTCATATAAAAAACAAAATCATTTTGGAACGAGTTCCAAACGCGCCCAAAATGGTACTTGCAATATAGGAAGTAAGCAGTAAGCATATATGCACTGGTGAGAATGTACTCTTGAATACCTAAAAATATAATAACTACTATACTTTACCTGGAAGTTCCAGAAATGAGAGCCCACAAAGTTTGCAAAACCTCCAACTTGAACAGAGACGATTTCCCTCATAGTTGTTTCGTGGAGACCAACTGGGTCATTTTGAGAGCAAAATTAGTATCCAAAATAGAGCTCAAGAGTAGGGTTTAAGGTTAACTATGACATCCAAACACAGCCTACGATGCTCTTTGTTTGTTTGTTTCCTTTTTTTTTTTTTTTTTTTTTGTCTGTTGGAACTTGGGAATTGAGAGTGGAGCTAGCAATTCATGTCATGCTCAGGCCAACATATTTATGACACAACTCGATAGGCCTAGACTCGAATACGATACAGTTAATAAACGTGCGGGAACTCAAACACACACGAAATGCTTATTACATGTGTAACACAACACGACATATTTAATAAACGAGCCATAGCGGGTTGGGGGGAAAAAAAGAACAAAGAAAAAAGAAAACAGGAAAAGAGTTATGACCCAATTAACAGGAGTGTTGGAAAATTTAAAGAATTGACTACTACTTACAACTAGATAAAGTACAAATGATTTATGTACCAAAAACAAGCGTAAATTTTTCACATCTCCAAAAAAACACAAAAAAAAAAAAAAAAAGAATCTGAACACCAAACATTTATATGATACTATTACTACTGGGTATATAAAAGCGTCCAAGCATCTCATACCCAGGTTTCAAAACACAACCAAACATCCAAATATCCACAGCCAAACGTTTTAAGTACATAAAACATCAAAAGCACATAACACAAATATAGCAATTGGTATCAAAATATCCAAAGAAAAGTAAAATTTCTTCTTGAGTTTGAATTTCCAATCGCATCACAAGTTCCAAGTACTCTCCAAAACTTTCCAATTATTTCAGCCTATTCAAGATTTAAAAGAATGACAAAGTTAAAACAATTCAAAAACATAAAAAACCAGACTATTCTTAACATTAAAGAATATAAATATAATTGTAATCATCAAATTCAAACTAAAAGTAGATCCAGAATTTAGCAAGGAAAAGGAACACCTCTGCAATATGAGTTTTGATCATCTAAAATACATGATAAAAATTGTCTTATTTCCTTCAAAAACATAAATATGGAATTGAATTTACACAACTTATGTATAGATCGACATTCGTTATCTCTCTTCCCATCATTTTCGGTTCTGTAAATCCGACAACTTCATCAACTAGATTAGAGTTAATATCTGCCTCAACCATAAATTCCTAGAACGGAATTACAGAACTTTCAAATTCCTAAATGCTAACCTAACAATGGTGAAAAGATATATCATAAATACTTCAATAACAAAAATAAAAAATAAAAACGAAAGATAAATATATATAAATATATAATATAATATTATGCACGAATACAGAACAAAATCCGAAAAACAAAAACGAAACAAAAAATGTGAATTCACTAACCGAGAAAACTTCAAAGTAGTATTGATAACTGAACTCTCACAACGATTACATAAAACGAGAGTAAAAGATAGAAACAATCGGATTGAACTTGGGCAAAAGGTAGAAAATAAAATTTCGTAATTTTGTTTGTTTCAATGCAGTTGCTGAATCGAAATTCATGCATTACTTGGCCCCAAAAAAAAAACAAAACTGCACTTTTAACTAACAGAAGAGACCAAACTTACAGTAGTATGAATAAATTAAAAACTGATTATCTCATAATGAGTGCTGATCAGAGAAATAGAAAAAAGAAAAATAATTCCAATACTATTTTAACAAAAGAATCGAATTGAACTTAAAGGAGAGAAAAAAAAAATCTGATCTTTAGGAATTTCAGCAGGCAAAAGGAAAGAATTTACTGACTTGAAGATAACCGGAGACAGAACCGGAGAGAAGTTACCGGAGAAATAGAGATGAGTGTGGGAAAGCAGAGGAGACGCGAAAGAAGGGCGGAAGAGAGTGTGGGAGCGGCAGAGAAGGTACTAGAAATGGTTTAGGAAGGGAAATGGAGAGCATGTTTGGTACGTTGTAGAACCGGGAACCATAATTCTGATTTAAATCGGTGTTTATTTATTAAAAGTAAATAGTGATTTTAATTTGAGTCACTTTTATAATTAGTGTTTAATTTAAATAGTTCTGATTTAAGGTTTGAACACTGATGTGATATTTTAAACTAAAATCATTCTTGATTCTAAAATCACCCCTTAGTTTTGAGTGGTTCAAACCTCTGACTCTGGTTCTAGTTTCAGAACTATAATTTGGACTCAAAATCATGAATTATGGTTCTAATTCTAAAATCAAAACTAGAATCACTATAATTTAAACTCTCATACCAAACGAAGCCGGAGTTTTTATTTTTGGAGCCAACGAACTGTTTAGAATTAGGAGTTTTCCTTTACACACGACAACCAAAAACTAGGAGCTTTTTTTTATGACTGAACCGAAACGCACTAAAGTCACTACTATTTAGGCTCGGTTTGGTAAATAAGTTTAAATCGCATGGGTGCGTTTGAAATTGATTTTTGTTTGTTTTTAAAAACGTTTTTACATGTCTTTTGAGACACGAAAATAAAAATGGTTTGTAAACCGTGATTCTTTATTAAGTGGATGTTTGGTTCATGAATTTAGAACCATTCTCATTTTACGTGTATTTCTTGTGAAAGAAAAACACTGCAGAGAACTATGAATATGATTCAGAATCAGGGACGAATACAGGAAAAAAACGTCAGGTAAATGTTTTGATAAAGAAAATGAAAATAAAAAACAGTGATAATGGTTTTAGTGAAAAAAATTAGAAAATGGTTGAAAGTTGATTTTCCCTTTCTGTTTTCATTTTCTAGTACTCATTCATAATATTATAATATATTAATTAATAATTATAACCACATACGATTCTTACACAATTCTACTTTTTTATTATACTCAACACAACCTCTTAAAAAACAAACCAAACGTAATTTCATAATCAGTTCTAGAATGACTATCAAAACAATCTCATTTTTACTTTTATATTGAAAATAAACTCATTTTAAAAACGTTACCAATCGAACCCGATATTTTTAAAAAGTTTGAAGAGTATGGTTTGAACTTTAATTAGTTGTGTTGTGGTTTGAATAGGAAATAAGAAATCTAAGGGTCTGTTTGGTTCATAGATTCAGAATCATGATTCATGATTTTGATTTTTGAAATTCAAATTTTTTATGAGAAAAAAACACTATAGAGAACCATAAATCATGATTCAGAATCAGGAACAGTACATGAAACAAACATCCCCTAAAATATGAAATTGTGTTGTGATTACAAGTTTATTTATTTATTCTTTTGAGAGAGAGAGAGAGAAGAGGCGTGTGAGTTTGAGTTAAAACACTGTACAATTTTCTTCAAATTCTTGAAAATATGGCGAGTTGATTTCAGAATTAGGTTGTTTTTTTGTTTAACTTATTACATCAGTGGTTTCAAAATAAGTTTTTTTCCCTCCTCAAAGCATGTGAATTTACACAATTCTACTTTTTTATTATACTCAACACAACCTCTTAAAAAACAAACCAAACGTAATTTCATAATCAGTTCTAGAATGACTATCAAAACAATCTCATTTTTACTTTTATATTGAAAATAAAATCATTTTAAAAACGTTACCAATCGAACCCGATATTTTTAAAAAGTTTGAAGAGTATGGTTTCAACTTTAATTAGTTGTGTTGTGGTTTGAATAGGAAATAAGAAATCTAAGGGTTTGTTTGGTTCATGGATTCAGAATCATGATTCATGATTTTGATTTTTGAAATTCAAATTTTTTATGAGAAAAAAACACTATAGAGAACCATAAACCATGATTCAATAATAATTGAATCACAAATAAAAACACTAATAATTAATAAAATATGGAAATTACAATATTAGCTTAAATTATTGTCGCATATACGAATCTCACATTTGATTAGCTAGATGATCCCTAAAATTAACCATGTAATTACGTTGTTGCCGACCACTCATTTCAGATGTTTCTGCTTCTTGTGCATCCATACCATGTTGTTGTTCATGTTGCCCTTCTTGTTCTCCCTCAATATCTTCTACGGGCAAATCAACCTCGTATTGTCTAAATAGAGGATCATCTCACGCGTGCATCTTAATTAAATTGTGGATCACACAACAAGCTATTGGTATATATTTATTCTTTTGAGAGAGAGAGAGAAGAGGCGTGTGAGTTTGAGTTAAAACACTGTACAATTTTCTTCAAATTCTTGAAAATATGGCGAGTTGATTTCAGAATTAGGTTGGTTTTTTGTTTAACTTATTACATCAGTGGTTTCAAAATAAGTTTTTTTCCCTCCTCAAAGCGTGTGAATTTGAGTCAAAAATATTGTACAATTTTATTCAAATTCTTGAGAATATGGTGTGTTAATTTTAAAAATTAAGTTGCTTCCTCGTCGTTGCGGACATCCCCAAAGAGCGGGAGATTGCGTCATCTGGATCTATCATAGTCTCAGTTAACACTCTGGAATCAGCAGTTGATCCTTCCCATCTGGTATTGACATAAGTGAATAGCATATCAAAACTACACGCCGCCATTACATTTTGAGTGCACGAATGTCTTCTTCCTCTATAGACTGCCTGTTGATGTGCAGGTGGGACAACCATCATGTGTGTACCGTCTATTGCACCAATACAATCCTATTAAAATACATAAGGCGTGAGTTACGATTAATTTAAAATTATTTGTCATAGTAGTAGTATATGAGCAGAGTCAGATTGTACCTTAAACCATTGTCAGTACTTAGGGTTGTGTTGAATCTCTGGGGGGACAATGTTCATATTTGGTAGTTTTATAACTTGAGGTGCTAACGCAGACAATGCGGTAAGCATATTATCAAAATGCCGGTGTACTGTCTCTTCAGAATGACACTTGTATCTCTCTATTGCGATCTGAGTGAGCAACCGTTCTTAAGAACATCATTAGAGATTCTTCTGCTGAAATACTTGAAGAAGGCAGTAGATTGTGGCCTCGAATTAACTGAACAATTGCTTCGAACGTGTCTCGATGCATACGACACATTTCAAACAAATTTTTGGGATGTCCATGTAATTGTTCTAAAACATATTCTCGTCCTGTTAACGCAGAATTACGACGAGGTTGCCTAGTTCGTCTGTTTCCAATCGACATCAATAATTGGATATAATGTTGTGGTTGTTCATTATCATCTGATGACTGGAGAAAGTCAACAGCTCTGGCATCATTCTCACTATCTGAATCCATATTAACCTAAAAAATGAACCGAGACTGGAACTAATCAAACATCCATATAACATTAAGTAATCAAACGAAGAACTCCAATGTAATTCAATCCAACTAAAAACAAATAACAAAGTCTAACAAACACAAGTCCAAGAGAAAAATCTGTTGTACATGCTCAACAATACTTAAAAAAAAACATACGTCCGAGAGGAAACAAATAAAGAAAACAACACAATAATCATTTAAACTACAGGCTTTGAATCCATGAAAGATGACGACAAGCGAGCATTTTCACACATCCTCCTAAGGGAAATGTCAACCGCCAACTGGTGCGCTGCCTTAGTATACGCATTATCGTCTAAATACTCCCCATACTCATTCAACAAATCCATACAGGTTTCAATACTTGTAGTTGGATCCTCTTTCTGAGCCTCGGCTAATGTCATAGTACGGGCTTGCCTATCAACTAAATATTGCTAAAACAAATCAACATTTTGAACAGATGTCTCACTACGTAGGGTAGCACTCTTTGCCAAAGCCTCTATAGCCGCGTCAACTGCACTGTTGTTCTTGCCCTTCTTCTTAGATCGAGTAGTAGGACCCTGAGACCGTATGTTTCTATTGTCTTCTGCACCCCGGACTTCATCCGAGTCCCCTGTACCCTCCTCTACCTCTTCCAATTGTGTGACAGCCCTTTTCGCCGCATTCAAAACATTAACGGCAGTATGTGCATTCATTGACCCCTGTCTAGTAGCAATAGTCCCAAAAAAAATCTGTGAAAGTTGGGCAAAGTTCTGCAAACTCCCTTTCTTGAATTTCTTAGCCTCAGGATGTTTCTGACATTATAAAGAAAACAAGAGTAAATACTCAGGTGCAATCCAAACACCAATTCAACTCTTTCATATAACATAAGATGTTAATGCTCAAACCTTACCGCCACATATGAATCTCATACTTCTTTTTCAGCTGTGACAGTGTTAGCCTCAGAATCCCAACCAAACCCTGTTGTTTCAATTAATGCCTTAAACTCTCTCGTGCTACGTCTAAGCCTATTCCACTTTGCTTTAAGCTGGTCTGATGTGAAATGCTTACCAAACCTAAGTGATATTTCATTAGCAATTTTCATCCACGTTTTTTTGTCCAAAGTGGATGTTTGCATCCCAGTCTTTGACTCTTCGTATATCAGTTCCACATAAAAATCCTCAATTGCGGCCGGCCATTTCGTATTATTGTCCTTATCACACATCTAAAATAACACTTTCATCATTAAAATAAATGTCAATTTGTAAAGTATATACACACACATACACAGACACACACACACGCATGGGCTGATACAGTCCCAATGGAGGCCTCCCATTGGGGCTGATTCAGCCCCTGGGAGGCCCCCGTTGGGGCTGATGGGGGCTAATTATCAGCCCCTATTGGGGCTGATTATCAGCCCCCATTGATAAGCCCCCATCAGGGTTGATAATCAGCCCCTATGGGGCTGATGGGGGCTGATAATTAGCTCTCATCAGGGCTGATAATCAGCCCCTATTGGGACTGATGGGGGCTGATTATCAGCCCCCATTGGGGCTGATAGAGGTTGATTTTCAGCCCCCAATAGGGCTGATAATCAGCCCCTATTAAGGCTGATTATCAGCCCCCATTGTGGTTGATGGGGACTGATAATCAGCCCCCATCAGGGCTGATAATCGGGGGCCTCCAGGGAAAAAACAGAAAAAAATGACCAAATCAGATCAAGCATAGCAAAATTAGAAACAAAACAACAC